ATTAGTATCAAATCTTAAGGGAGCATCTTAATGAAGCAAAGATGATGAATGTTAGGAGCAAAGGAAAGGAATATAAAATTGAACTGTTTTATTAGGGTTAAAACAAATACTACATTCTGTGCATCCTTTCTGGATTTTTTACTGATTCGGGAAGGAGGGAGGGAAATTTTAATTCAGACTTTTCCTGTTGTGCTTATCTGCTACAAATATAAAAAACAAAATGGAACAAAAGTCAACTTAATATTTCAGAATTCCAGATTGTATATAAACAGTATAATTCATGAATACAAATGTCCTGGAACATAAAAAACAAGATTGTTAGCACAGCACATAACTCAAAAATTTAACAGCATTCCTCACTAAAAGTTTTATTTATTTAGTTAGTTAGTCAAACATGAACAAGATAATAGGTATAAGTATAAACATGGACATGAACACAGGAAATGGGTATGAATAAATGCAGACAATAGGACAGGGACAATAGGCATGCTAGTGCGCACGCCTTAGGAAAGGGGTGAGGTTCTTATGTTTCCAGAGATATCTGTTTCCTAAAACATTTATTTACGTGTTTTATATAGCCATTTATTTCAAATGTGTACGGCTAAATAGAAAAAAATCACAAGAATACCAATTAGCACAACTTTTGTTGCTTGCCATAATTTTGTGAATATCAGTTTCTATAGTCTTATAACTTGGTACTGACCAGAGTGCTGATCTAACTTCCTCTTCTATTACTAGAGCTTGTAGGTAGGAATATCTTCTCAGATACCTTGGAGGTTGACATATGTAGTAGTTCAGTATACCCTTTCAATTTTTCTTTGATCTTTGAATAAATTATTATCTGTCCATTGGTGTCCTTTAGCATACAAATTTGATATTAGAACATTCTGATTCCTTTGAAAGATTTTCCTCCCCCCCAAAGTATATTTTCATCTTGAATTTGTTGAAATACTACCTTTTACCAGGCCTCTTGCTCTTTGTTGAGCGCCTTTCTAATATTTTTGTCTTTCTAATGTACAGTTTACAAACAGAAAGTTTAATTTCTTCATCTTTGGCAATCTTTTAATGTTCATCCTTAACAATACCCTTAAATTCATTCTATCGTTCCACTCTTCACACACAGGAATGCCAGTCAACTGCTTTTGCTATCCCATTAAGATTTCCCCCTCCCCCAAGATGCATAGATATACACTTGCAATGGTTATAGTCAATCAAAAAATCTATGCAAGTGATGGCTTTGTAAAATATGTAAACCAAAGCACTGATATCCTACAATGAATGTCTGGCCTTGCTCTCCACACCGATTGGTGTGTTCTGGGAGGTACATATCCGTAACAGTAGTTCATCAAGTTATTTGTGTAGTTACATATCCATCATTGTAATATTGGTTTTGTTTTTGCTTCTATCATGGGCACCTGTGATGCTCAGAATCAGAACTAGTAGCAAATAGGAACCAAGGCCACATGGAAAGTATAATTCTCCCCAATTTCTAACAATCACAGAGTTGGAAGGGACCTTGGAGGTCTTCTCGCCAACCCCCTGCTCAGGAAACCATATACCATTTCTAGTTTCACTTTAGAAACTTTTCAATGAACTGTGGACTAAGGCAGAATTTATATATGTGACAGGTAAAGGAAATGTTTTTAAAAGATAATTTATAATATTTAACACATAGTAATTTGAAAATCTAAATTGATTTTATGCAATGCAATGCTGAACATCCATATTAAATAAATATGCAATTTTGCAGCCGATCTTGGAAAATTTCAATTAATTGTAGGTGTTTAAAAACCTGTAAAGAATATCTGAAATTTTACTTCTGCTGAACAAGCAACAAGTATAACTATTTCTATTCCTATGTCAACGCTAATGGTAGATAAACCTAGAATTCTTTGGCAGCTGGTATTTCTAAACTGTTTTTAAGACATTCTAGGTAAGATTCTGCTTCCTGTCAACTTACTGGATTTACATCAACTTAACATAGGATACAAAGATAAGTTTCCCACTTCCTACTCAAATCTAATTCTTTACAGGAAGGAAAAGCATAACTGCTTATTTTTTCAGTAATAATCTTACATTTATGCAATGTTTGTGACATCTTTAAATTGCCTGATTTTTAAATATTAATCTTTTGCATTTTCTGTAGCATTATTTATCACTGGAGCACATCTAGTGCTTATTATTTCAATTGGATGGGATTATTCATTTGATAGCAATATAGTAATGGTAACTTCCATTTCATGAAAGTGTAAATGACTGATGTCACTGAGTAGATGTTTTGGTAAAAAAGAAAGGTTAAAACTGAATGATTCATACTTAAATGGCAAGGACCAGATGTCATTGGTTGGCACTTTCAGATTTTAGTGACTCTTGGAGAAGTCATTAATTTAATAGATAGCATTAAATAGATTTGAATTAGGTTTGTCATATTATGCCATGGTTTATGGATTAAACCATAATGGGCTGCATACATAGGACATGGTTTATGCACCATAATGTCTAGGCCCATCCAATACAATAAGTTAAAACCAAATAAATACCATTGCAATTTAGTGCAATGTATGAATCCAGACATAGCAAGATTAAATATAAAACTGATTAAACACATTGATGTAGGTCCTGGTCAAAACCTTTCTAGGAAGAGAATATCTGGACTAAACCAAAATTACATATAAAGAAATGTAGTGTCACAGGCATGGATAATGTTGATATATGTTGAAATATTGCTTCTTTTTGCTAACCGTGAAAGTTCATCTGTCAGAAAATAAAATTATTTAGGGCAGATAACTAGAAATTTTCAACTGAGATGGTATGAGTGGTATTAAATGCCACATACATAATAATAGTTTCTCATAAGTATTTAATTTTATAAAGTTCAAATATTTTCTACAAGAGCTTTGGATACTCGAAGTGGAAGTATACCTGACTTCTTTTAGTGCAACATAACTTTGCAAATTATCATAGAATAAATGGAAATAAATAAGAAAATGTGTACAATACTGACACTTAAAAATATTAAAAATTATAACCTCCATTATTAAACTGCTCAGTATTCCTAGATATTACACATTTCTATAAATCAGCCTAAAATAGCCTAAATTATGCTGCAAAGTAAAGCAGGATGATGATGTTATATTTTTGTGTTTCTCAGTTATAACATGCAATTTTAATGAGTATTCTATTGAACTACATAGAAGGGTTGACAAATATTTTCTAAGACTCTTCCTCCCTCCCTCCCTTCTCATACTTTATCCATTTACTTTGTATTATATTTCTGAGTTTATATAATTGTAATAGTCAAATTCCTCATAGCATGCTTGCTATGCAATCGACAAGGAAGGATAGTAAATAAATTAGTCTGGTCTCAGACATTCAATCTACTTTTTTCATGTAGGCAAATTTTCTCATTAAAAATCTGTTAAAGGTTCTAAGAGTTATGGCCTGAAGAATGGAATAACTACAATTCCCCGTGATCAGATGAACTTACTGTCTTGCTAAATACAGTGGGGCAAAAAAGTATTTTAGTTAGCCACCAATTGTGCAAGTTCTCCCACTTAAAAAGATGAGAGAGGCCTGTAATTGACATCATAGGTAGACCTCAACTATGAGAGACAAAATGAGAAAACAAATACAGACAATCACATTGTCTGATTTGGAAAGTATTTTTTTGCACATTATGGTGGAAAATAAGTATTTGGTTATCTCATGTTTTTAAGTGGGAGAACTTGCACAATTGGTGGCTGACTAAATACTTTTTTGCCCCACTGTAAAATAAAGTGCAGAAAATTATGTATTTTTTAAGTTGTGTTCATTGTGTATCAGAATTTTGACTCCACTATTCCATATACATCCCTCACTGAAAGTAACTTCACTAGACTATAGATGATGTCTGTACATATGGGCACTTCCATAGGGCAATGTTTCCATTTTCCCGTCCTTAAGCAGTCTGAAAATTCATACCTATATTCTTCCTTTATGTTAACCAAGGAATACTGAGAACATAATATGCCATTCAAACTGTCCCTTCACTTGACCAATAGAAACCTAAAATCAATGCTATTTGTTTTACAGTTTGTCTTGTCCAAACTTATTAGACTTCAAACTGTGACTTATTGTAGAGCCTTTTAATACTTGAGTAACCCAAATCTCATAATTGATTCCACACAAAAGGAAAAGAAATACGTAAAGATCCAGCAGTTTGCTAGCCTGCTTGCTCTTCACCGTTTCCATCTAGATTTTTTTTATCTCTGCTGAAGCAAGCCAGCATTAAAAGACCTATCGGATGGATGAGCAAAAATGAGAAATATACTTCCTCAACTTTCAGAACGTTACCCGTGTAAAAATACAGATGACCTTCTTTTGCAATTTGGCTTGCACCACAGCTGAGCCAAAAATAAATCATTTTAGCTGCCAACCTCAACTGATGTTAATCCCAGAATTCCAGAGTGGCTTTTGACTTGGAGAGTTCTGCAGTTGATCAGCCAAGTTGTGTAAGCTCAGCTGTACAATGAACTACTAATAAAGGAGAATATTTCTAGCTCAGGGTTGACCTGAGGGGTTCTTGGTGCTCTCTGAACTTGCTTGTTTTCTTACAGACGTTTCATTACTCAAACTAGGTAACATCAGTGCTAGTACAATAAAATCTTTGCATGAAAGTTGGGCATGGCAAAAGACTTCAATCCCAATACGAGCATGTACAGACTCAGAAATATGTATTCCTGTTTTATGGAGAATAAATAATTAATTTTAAAGTAATGAATATTAACTACAATTTAGTTGCCAGGCAGAGATATTTTAACTCCACTACTTCCAATTCCATTTCCTTGGAATTAATCCTGTATGATTCCTGCAGTAGATATTACTGAGATTAGAAGGAGCAATTAATGCAATTATATAAACAGTAGATCAGCCAGGAATTAACCTGGAGAATATAAAATGCACCCAGTGCCTGAACTGTGCATTTTCTCAGAAGCAAACTCAAAGGTACATAGGATGACTGCATGAAGAAAAGACTGTGCAGCCAAGAAACTGATTCTCCTTTTCTGAGTTGTTCTGAGATTGAACAGCCCAGCAGAGTTGATAGGTATGTATCCCTGGCTTTATGTGCCTCTGCATGTGAATCTGGAAAAAAAATTACTGTATATTTGTAGACAGGAACATGTAGTGTTCAACAATACAAACTTACAATACATACTGCTTTGTTTTTGAGGTGCCACAAGATAGGTGTGTTTTGGCAGTAAAATAACATGATTATCCTTCAAAAATATTTTTCCTAAGCAGGATTCTGTTTGTTGTGAGGAAAGATTTTTAACAAAAAGTATTCTCTATACCGTCAGTTCTTGATTTATGTCATTCATCAGCATTTGATCTGTCATTAATCATTAATCATTAATAATTTTTTCTCTGTCAATGGCTTTACTAGTTTACAAATTCTAGGATATAATGTTTGAATGAAGCAGGATGTGTGTGGAAAGCACAGAAGATATAATCAAAATCTGAAACCATTTCAGTACATTTGAACAATGGGATGAAATTCAATATAAATGAATAAGAATGCCTGCATTTAGGAACTAGATATATTGCATGTGACATAAATATTTGCCTGCATGAGCTTGACATCATTTGGCAACAGTTGGGGTATATGTGTGCTTGTGAAGCTGAAATTAGAGCACTAATTATTCAGGTGTCACACATTAAGAACATTGACAAATTAGACAATTTTTCACCAGAAATCAGCTTAGTATGAAATCTAACATTAGGAAGTCACCTGTTGCAAGGATCATTTTTCTTTAAAAATATTAGAGATAGAATAGAGAGAATAACAGAATAAAAAGAAGAATAAGAGAAGAAAATATTGCTGTCTTCCAATATTGGAAGTGCTGAAAAAGAGCTGGGACAGATTCTTCACTTTTTGTTTGGCTCATTGCTAGTCTGAGCCACTCAGCACTCCCTAATTACAGGATCTGATGGCATCATTCTGCTTCTACTTCCAACCCATTGCATACTGCATCCAATTTTTCAACTTTAATTCAAAATTGCTTTCAGAGCTGATGGTTTCCAGTGCTTCCTTCTGTCCTAGCAGTAGGCTGCCATGCCTGACATTACCCCTCCCTGCAAAGGCTGGTTGCTGCTCTGTATTGGTATATTTTGATGGGTTGTCAAGCTGCTATTTTCTCCACATTTTAAAAAAAATGTTGCATTTAATTCAATGGCCTATTAAATCAATGAATTGTCTCAACCCTAGAAGCCCATGTTCAATTAAAATCTTATATATCCCAGTGGGCACCTTTTTGATATCTGCCCAAGCTGAATGAAATATACTTTGCTTACGTTCCCATTCCATGCAAAACTTCCATCCCCTTTCCTTTGTGTTAAATATATATTTGTTCCTTTTTGGCATGAAGATGAACTATCAGTTCTTTGTTGTTAGCAAAGTTTCTATGGAGTTGGAGTTGAAGGTGAGAACTACAATGCAGATCTCTGCTCATGTTTGATTATTATACAGTAGTGTCAAAGCAGCAATGTTACAGCATCAGTTATATTACAACAAGGGGGAAATAGTAAAAAATTGGGTCTGCTTTTGGTTAAAAAAATGTGTGTGTGTGGTTTTGTATGTTGTGTGAAGGCATCCATGTGTGCAAATATCTGGGAATATGGAAATGCTCTAATTATTAGCTGTGAATATTTGCATATATCCATTTTCAGACCTAGTTACATTATTTTGAGCCTTACAAGTACAGAATCCTGGTGATAAAATCAAGATAAAAAAGGAAGACAACTCTAATGTGGTGACTGCCTGTATTAGAGGATATTAGAGGAAGCTAGAAAGCCACCTAGGGAGCGAAAAACCCTGGCATATTTCTCATCTATGCAATGTATGATGCTTAAGTAGGGAATTATCTCAACCTGCCTTCCTTCAATTTATCATGAGATTAATTGTTCCTGATTTCTAGTAATATGGAACTGGGGGAATAGAGACAGGTAATATATAATGGGTGTTGATAGGTGACTGATTTCTGTTCCTTTTAGACCTATTCTAGTGATATTTCATTTGGATTTATCTTTATATCCAGCATGAATCCTGTCCTTTCCATCTCTCTGCCCCTAGTCTTTGCCTTGACTTTGGGGCAAAGTCTGGCTCTTTGTATCCCTGTTGATTATGTCATCCATGTGGAGAAGAGAGAATGTGGCTACTGCTTAGCTATCAACACCACCATCTGTGAAGGATTCTGCATGACCTGGGTAAGTGAATACGGGCTTGTAAGATACTTCTGAGTCTCTCCTTGTAATCCTTCTTGAGGATATATCTGAGTGTGAATATTTGGGGTTTTGGGCTGATTGGAGCTGCAGTAGATGAAGTACTAACAGAATATGAATGGAATCATGTTCTGCACTTTAGAAATCATAAACTGGTTTTTTCGTATTCCATTTATTTAGGCTAACACCAGTGTTTTATGGATTTCCCACATGCAAATGGCTGTATGTCATCTACTGGCATGTGTTTTATGCCTCTCCCATTAATGACATTGCACCTCAAACTTTGATTTTTTCCCCTGCATTGTTTTTAAATTTGGGGGAAAGGTGGCATACTAAATTGGGTGTCTTAAGACTTAGCACTCACATGTAGAATGGAATCCTAGACATGACACACAAAGCTAGCCACTGACAGTTTTTCATTCCTCCTTTAAGATGATAAATAGTGGGAAGAAATTTACAAGAATATTTTTTAATAAGTTATCTTCTATAATAAAAAAAACATAATTTAAAATTTCTTTTAATATTACATTCCCCTTCAAGGATGATTGTTCCTTATTTTCTCAAGTTGTGTCTTAAAAAGTGGTTACTATGAAGAATACACCAGGATTTCAATCTTTCCAGATGTTTAAGCTACTATTAGAGAACTGTGCTCCTTTCAATATATTGTTGACCTTCTCCAACACTTCCAAAATTCCTTCCTCTCTTCCTCTGGGAGACAGACTACATCAAAAGCCATTCCTTCTTATCCTAATTAATTAGGATATTTGTTTGCAAATTGTAGAAATACTAGAACAAAGAGATTCCTCCAATAAAAAAAATTCAAAACATATGTTTGAGTAACTGTTTATCTCTGATAGTTGCTATCTGTCCAGTGAGGTCCAGCACAGTGAATGCACTTCAGGTGTGTTTGATAAAGTAATGCAATCTATCTAGAAGAAAGTCTTAGCGCTTGTCCTCTGAAACAGCATGCCCCTCCAGAGTTCTGTATGGATTCCTGTTTGAAGATGTTCTGAAAGTCACTGAAAATGTAACTTTTTCCCCAGGGCATGCTGTAAAGAAGTGATTGAGCCCCCGTAGGATATTTTACTATTTATAGAGCATATCTTCTGGACCCTTATGATCTGCTTTATTTTTAAATTGTTCTTACTTTTTTTAAATAGTAAGCCACAATGAGTAATGAAGTAACAATGACTAAATAACTTAATTAATGGTTCTGTAGTAGACACCCTTGAAATTTAGATTTTTGAGATAAGTCTAAAAAACTTGGCATTTCATTTCCTTTTACAGCCCATTTGTGCTCAATCACATTGATCTGATAGTCAGTTCTCCAGTTTCTGCAGTTGATTTTCCCAAGTCTTCTCCAAAGATGGAACTTGGAATTTCTGCACGCACAGTAGGTGCTATCTCTGAGCAACTGCTTTTCCAAGCAAAGTGCTCATTCTAAGTACATTCATAATCGTTTATACAGGATCAGTTTTAACTGCTTAAGTTTTAGTTTGAAAAGCTCCCGTAATGATGAAAGGATCCTTCTAATTTCAGTTGCATAGTGATTAGGAAAAGCAGTGGATCAGAATCCAACTTTATCAGGCTAATTTTAAATGAAGTCTATTAGGAATGCAGAATAACCATTGACATTTTGTTACAGGACAGAAATATTAAGAAGTTACTGCCCAGGAGGCTGAGTGCCTTATCCCAGAATGTGTGTACATACAAGGAACTGGTGTACAGGACTGTGATGATACCTGGCTGTCAACACCATGCTGTCTCTTACTATTCTTATCCTGTGGCAGTGAGTTGCAAATGTGGGAAATGCGACACTGATTACAGTGACTGTGTGCAAGAGGCAAGTGGCGCTGGTTATTGTGCAATGTTCTAGAAGCTACATAACTCTTGAGGTCTTGGTTCTCTGTATCTTTCACGCACAGCAACAGCTAAGGAGCAGCAACAGCTAAAATAAATAAATTGGTTAGCATATCCATGAGTTTGATCTGTCCATTTATTCAAAGACAGAACAGTAAAATATAATAGGCTGCTCATTTTTGTGACTTTCATTTCTCTGAGGTTTCACAGCAAAAAATGTGTCAAGAATAAAAACAACCCCTTTTTCTTTACTAAAGTCAGAGCAAAGATTCCATGAAATGAAGTCTTAAGTTCTGCTTTCTGACTGGAAAAACTAGAGTTAAACTTTTCCTACTATGTCTATCTTCAGTGACCAAGAACTTAACATTAAATAAAATTTTAAAATAAAGTCCACTAAAATCCTTAAAGAAAAAACAACCCTGTCCATTTGAAATGTAATCCTTAGCATGCTGCAGAAAGCTTCAGTGCAATCCTCAAAAGAGCAAAATGCATATACATAGATTGTTGTTGCACTGGTTTGAACATTTTTATTGTAATAGATTAAGTGCAGGAACATAATAGTGTTTGTACTGTCCTTGGTGCAAGGCACATAATGTCCTGAAATCTACATATAGTTCTTTAGAAAGAATGACATCCCCACATTCTTGCGCTTTCTCAGACAAGCTCAGTGATAATGTACAAATATAATAATGATCTATAAGATCTAAAATGTAAAAAGCCTGTTAAGAAAAAAATGCTTAGCAGTTTATTGTACAATCAACAATATAAATAGTCAGGAAACATTTTCTGCTTCCAGTTAAGTTACACTTGGTTCTTTTTTTATAGTAATTTTATTAAATATAATTAAAAAGATTAACACGAATGCACTAATACAAACTAAAAAAAGAAAATGAATAGAAAAATAGAAAAGAAAAAAAAAGAAATGACTTCCTCCATCATATAACATTTTTTGTAACTTATTACTTTCTCTTAAAATGAAATAAGTGATCTCTTCTTCCCGTATCTCATCTCTTATCTATAAATAAATTCTTAAAACTTCATCTTTCCCTCCTGATCAACATGTCCATTAAAGGTTACCCAAGATAACATATATATCTGTTTTAAACTTGATGAAATAAATCAACTTTATATTCCTTTCTTTTACTTTTAGCAATCTTGCTCTTTAATCCATTGAGAGTGTTCTAGAACTCACTTTTTCTTGCCCTTCTCACAAGTCTTCAAAACTGTAAATCCTCTTTTGTAAATCCAATAGGATAAAAAAGTTATCAACATCCTTTAGTTGTAAAGACAACAGCTGGTTTCATTTGTATATCTACCGCACATCTTTTTCCACATCATTCTTATAGTTTGTCATTTTTAAATCCACTTTCAAATCAGTCTTAGTTTCTTTCAGTAAAACTTGTTCCTCTTACATCTTTTAAACACAGTCTATCTGTAATACAAGCACCTCTAAATTTAAACTTCTGGGTATATTATTCACAAATGTCCTTTAACATGACCAATGTGAAAATATTTTGCTCCATTCTGTATTAGTAAGTAAAATTTAAGCATTAATCTTTAATTGTAATATTTAGTTCCTTCTGGTTTTTTTTAGCATAAAACTTTCAAAATCCTATCATTTTATAAAAAGAATTTCAGATAGCAGCATTTTTCCATGAGAAGGATTCTTATTTCAAAATTTTATTTGAAATCCATCTGGATTATGTTTGTAATTTTCAAAAAACAACATTCTAATCATCTTTTCGCTGATTACTTCCCCCCAAAAAAAGAATTTTTAAAAGTCCTTAATAACTTGTATTTAAAACTTCTTTCACTAAGGATTGAAGGAAATTCACCTTGTGCTATAAAACATATTGTTCCAAAGGTTTCTAATAGCTGAAAAGCAGATGACAAAAAAGTGATTAAAAAACAAATTTTGCAAGTCTTGTGTTCATAAGAGAGTCTACTCTGGTTTGGGCTAGGATGGTGTTTCCGCGTCTCTCTGACCTGAAAACTTTCCAGATAATGCTCTTGCTGTATCCTTACAAGGATCAACTGTCTGGAGCACTTGTGGATGATTCCAAGTCCTCCTTGTCCAAAAAGGAATTATGAAGAACTGGTCCGCTCACGGGCCCTTTATTCCATAACAATGATTGGCTTTGCTCTCAATGGAGCTATCTTTGGTTCACCATTTGAAGTCTTGAATTATACCGTACTTGATTCTAAATGGCAAATTTTCCATTTTTTATTAATGACTTATAACTTTTTAAATAATAAATTTAAGGAACTAGTCTACTTTGCTCATAATATTTGGATTAAGTTATTTTGTATTAAGGAATAAAATTCTTTAGCGTAGGTAAAGGTAAAAACACAATCTATAAAAATTCATACACCTTTGTTCCCAATTAAGTGAGTGAGACACTAGCAAACATACATCTAGAAAGACAGCAAGCGGGTTAGATTAACAGCATCTATGGAACCCCAAGAAAAACTAAATGTCTAATTCACTTTTCAACATTTCAGCAAAGATTTGGCCCCGGAGATAGTTCTTTCTTTTCTTGTTCTATTCATATATACAAAACATTTCCCCAGATATTCCTTCAGTCTTCCACTTATTCAAAGTAATTATTCTCATTCCACTCTTGGAATTCTTGTTTCCTAAACTCAGACATGCCCCATTTTAGATGGTGTTTTATGACTGGTGTCTCTATCGCGGCTTTGTCTTTTTCATGCTTAATAACAAGAAAAAAAGTTGTCAATAGACTGAGCTGCTATTGTTTCTTGATAGTTGAGTTCTTGTGATTATATTCCAGGAGATTCAATGAATAAAAGTCTATGGGGACAGTTTTCCATTCTGGAATAGATTTATGAAAAATTCTCCAAACCCAATGAAATAAACTACTTGAGCTATGCCAAAGAGAGGTGCAATGACAAGAGCTCTGCAACTAGCACCCTTTAAAAAGGCTGAAGGACCTTCTTTCATCCAAATCTTCCTGTGGAAACAAAACAAAAAAAAAGGAAATAAGACCTAACTGGTTAAAACATACTGCAGTATATTATCTAAACATATTTCAGCACATGTTAAATATTTACCAACAAGATTTCTCTAGATTTCTTATCAAGACTTTACCAATATGTATCTCATTGAACAAAAACAAGGTTTGCCAAAGAGTGGTATCATACCAAGAAGTGGTATGATTCCAGCATTTTTATAAGCCAATTCAAATGTTCACTCTTTTGTGGATAACTAATATGGAAAACTAGTTCTGACTTGTAATATTCCACATGAATAGACTGTGTGACTTCACAAGGTAGCCTGGACTCAATCACATAAAAGTGGCTTCTACATGTTATAACTGTGCACAAGGGCAATTGGTTACTTATTACTTTAACAAGATTTGTATCTATAGAGGTGTCAGGGTAAGTTAAGGGCAACTTAAAAAATCAGTTCAAATGGTCTGACAAATATGTAAACTGTTTTGTAGGTTTTACCTTGAACAATCTACAATGCCACTGTAATTCTCCTCATTTCGTCCTTTGCCCATTGACTGAAGACGAGTCTTTATTACTGGAAAAAAGTGTTAAGAGATATATGTTGGTCAATTAATCACTTGAGTAAGGGATAGTTCAAAATGTATCCCTTCCACAGAACTATTATTGTATTATGAAAGCAATAGTGTTTCCTATATAAGAAACCCTTAACAGATAAAAATATAAATTAGCTTTCATGGGTTATCTTTAAGGAAAAACCTTTTCTAACATGTCCCCATGACAAAGTAGCCCAGATACAAACATAGAGTCATTCTTACCATCACAGGGGTTCACAGATACAGCTGCCACTGAGCCAGCTATGCACCCAGCAAGAAAAGAGTGAAAGAAGCTTGTTCTCCCCTCCAATGAATCTTGTCCTACTCTATTCAAATGGGCAAACAGTGGGAAATAGATGACAGAGAATGGAACATCCCTGAAAGACAAAATTTATTCCTTTTTCAAGCAATGCAGAAAACTACTCAGAGATTGAAAAAAGCTTAGGAAAACATAAAATCATTACCTCAATAAAGTGGCTCCGAGACCCTTATAGAGTCCTTTGATGCCATGAGTTTGTAGAAGCTCAGTTGCTATTTGGGTAGCAGATATATTCCTTGGGGTAACCACAGGTCCTACATTGTATGCTCTAGTCAGGATAGGGTTCACGGTTACAAGATTGCATCCAGAAGTGGAACAAGAAACTCGGCTCACAATTTGCTGAGATGCTAAAATGTTAATAGAAAATACATAAGACTTGTTATTTTGAAAAATCTCACTTGAACTTAAATCTGAGTATTAGAATCCTTAACTACTTGTAATTATATGAGTCTGAATGCTCAGATAAATCTTATGTTTTAGAACAATCCCTAATTTACTCACAGCAGTGGAATAAAACTTTGATGAGCATATTTAGGTTCATATATCATTATGATCTGTATATGATCAGTAGAATTTCAAATTCCACTCCCTTTTTCAAATCTTCCTCCAATAGACATAAAGAAGAGAATGTAACTGACTGGATGGGGGGGTCAGTGTATGCAGTCCCTTTTCCAATTATAACAATTTTGTGATTTTAGATTGAAATTATGACAAAGGATGGATTTTAGATTGCAATTATAACAAAGGATTTGCTTTTGACAAAGAAAACTTTGATCTATGTGATTGTTTTGATTATACTTCATCAAGTCAGTATTAACTCTTAGTAACCACTTGATTTTTTCTCCAGGAGTGATCAGTTTATTAATTCTTTCTTAATTCATTTTATCTTGTCATTTGTGTCTTGACTATATTTTCTATTGTTTCCAACCATACAAAAGGCACTGCAGATTTTCTACATTTCCTAATACTGTCCTGCCTCTTGGTTCACTATTTCATGGCATTCTGGGTAGTATTGTGGCACTGTACCTACCATGACACAGATTATAGTTTCAATACAGCTGAAACAATGAATTTGAGAGATGGATACAGAACGTATTTTTATTTTCCAAGATAAAATGGTGTAATATGTAAGAGTTTTACAGTGAAAACCCACATAGTAAGAAGATTAATTTATTTCTCAAAAATGTAATATATGAAGAGAGAGAGCCAAGGCAACATTACCTAGTCTCCCTGCATCCTGCAGCTGGATTTTTAGCATCTCCATAGGAGTGGTGATAATGACTTGACAAACTCCAGCACCGCAACCTGCTAACATCTCTTTAGATAAAGACAGACCTGCCCTGAAAGGAAAAAAAAAGAATAAGAAGATTTGTCAAACATATTACTTTACATTAATTTGAATATCACTACACGGAGTTCCAGCAATGGGAATGGGCTGAGTAATGGAGATACACAGATTTTCTCTAAAGGAACAGAATTTTTTTGACATGAATAATACTTCACCCTTTACTTATTTCACCTTGTATGTTGGTTTCGTTTGTCTCTCTAGCTGTCCCTACTAAGAGGATGACCCTATCTTTCTGTGTTCACTGTACAATTTTCCTGTCTATTTTGTGACTTCCTTACCCTGTGTAGAGCCTTTCATGTTTCTGTATCCAAAAGGAACATGAGGATAAAACTGGGGCTTCTGTCAAAAATGTGAAAATGTCCTCTCACTTGTCTGTGAATAGCAATGCCCCTATAAAATGGTAGCAGTTCCAACAATTTTTAATTAACTTTGGCAAATCCCAAAGAACTGCTTTCCTAATATATAGGTCAGAAGTACAACATTTTTCCTTTCCTCTTTTACTTCCATTTATTTTCTGCTTGCATTATCTTGTTTCAAAATATATTTTTGTTTATGTCTTTCAAACAGTACAACTAATCCTATTTGTGGCATTTATAGAATAATTAAATTAGTTATTACATTATTATTATTTTTAAAATATGGCTTGTTAAAAAAAAGAATTCCAGGAAAGTATATGTTAAAAAATATTAAACATTCACTATAAAAATATAGAACTTGAAACTAGTTTTAAAATCTCGACTCAGCTATGAACATAGACTTTAATGGATGTAAGATACAAGTGATACTCTAGTATCTGAAATAACATACCCTTCCTTGGCAAGAAGGTGTCTAAAATAGTCATTAGCAGCCAGTTTGATAGCCTTCTCAGGTGTTACAAGGGTCAAGTTCACCGCTGCACCTATAAATAAACATACTTATATTTAATAGATATAAAGTGATTGTATTCTTCAGTTGATAATTAACATTACTCTATTAAAAAAAATTCCACACCAGTTTGGTGCAAAGTTGAGTTCTTGTTATTATGAAGAAAAGAAAATTAGAATTAGATTAAGAAAAGGAAGGTAATGATTACAGAAAAGAATTAAAGAACATTTAATATTTATTGGAAATAAATTCATTCACTGTATTTTAAATTAGCGATTCTTCTTCATGTTCTAAAGAATGCCATCAATTTGATAAGATATTTAAAAAGTAGCTTAAATATTTAATAAAATGAAATCCCAAACAAATATCATTAATATAGTTCCATGAAATATATTTGATTTCAGGAATGTTTAGTACTTTATTGTAACTTTTACTACAAACTTTAATTAAAACACAATCAAGTAACTTAAATAGCCCACCAAAAAGGAAATGATGTGTCTTGCAGACAATCACATAGATGCATTAAAATGTTTTCTCTCCTCCCACCATCATTTATAATTTTTTATGTCTATATGTGTGTATTGTAAGAGAAGGATAAAAACTGGGTCATAAGTGTGAGCTGGGGGAATCTACCAAAGATGGAGAGATGGAAATTAGAGTTAGATTAACCTTACAAGAGTTGAATAAAAAATATTTAATTATTGAAAAAGAAAAGGAAAAAAAATAAACATCACTTTTTAATTTTAAGCTTTAATATGCAATTATGCATTGATGCAGAATCTGAATTATGTAATTGCTCAATTTATAGTATTCAGCAATTGGGAATTTGGCTGAATTGAAAACCCAAAAACTACAAGATTGCAATGATTTGTTACAATTGTTGCGCTCTAAATTTGATCAAAACCATCCTCAGGGGGGAAAATATCATTTTGAGAGATTTGAAAAAAAATTGTTCATATATAACATTTACTTAGACATATTTATGCACAAAGGAACTGAATACTATACAAGCATACAACTTGTATGGATGTACAATATAAAGAAGATTAAACTCTGATATGGCTAGAAAATGTAAATTTAAAATAGGTTCTGCCTAAAACATTTATTCATGACTTAAAAACCACCTGAATGCTGAAACCAAAGTTCCCTCCTCCTTTTTCCTGGACTTTCCCTGGCTTCTGGAATAATGCTTATTAGAGTTATTGGGGAGATGTTACATACCAGTTCAGAAAAAAAACAAATTTCTTTCTGTCTTCCTGGAGTTCTGTCTCTAATTTTAAAAGAAAGCTAGCTTTTAAAAAAAAATTCAGCAGACGTATGGTCTACCATCTCTGCCTTTGCTTTATAGTACAGAAATCATGCTTCTCCAATATTTATTCTCTTTAGATGAAGGATTACATATAAACTATTCTTCTTCTGGAAGTCCCTTAAACAAGCTCCTTTTGACCTTGTTCTAGTCCAGGGCTGTCAAACTCCCAGCCCATGGGCCGGGTGCATCACCCGCTGCCCACGCCCCATTTAGTGAAGGGGGAAAAAGTCCCAATATATCATGTGACGCCGCCTTGATGCCGCGAGCTTGACACGTCTGCTCTAGTCACTCCACTCTGTTAACAAACCATAGTGCAAAAAGTTCAATGTCTTCACCATCATTGCAATGCATACAAAGCAACTCCATGTTATTCTTCCTCTCCATAATCAACCCAATCCAAAATATTGCTCCTTTTTGAGATGAAGACAAATTGGAAAGGAAACCAAGACCTCAGAGTGACCGGGTGGGTGGGGGGAGCAACTTTCTCCATTTCAGCATTCTTGAAAAGTAAGTAAATCCTAAGTGCTTAAGACAAATGCTTGGAATATGCTAGTCACTGGTATATAAGCAACTGAATGGCAGTAATTTAAATATTGCTGAATTAAAATTCCCACTTTTCCTTGCTCCTGGGCGTTCTGGTAGTTCAGTAACTTTTGGTCAGCCTCAAGATTCCTTACTCCTGCAGTATCTGAATTGACACCTTACAGCCATATGTTCTTCCCCTTAACTGGACTCCAGCACTATGTTCTAGAACTCCTAACAATTTTTTAAAAAGCAACCTTTTGTTTTTCCATTTCTTTGCTTCTGTATTTAATCCCTGAATAATAAAATGCTATTCATTTTTACCCAGAAGTCATGGAAACAGCTTACTACATTAGAAATGTATTTAGAACTGCATTCTAATAAAATAAGTACAACTACCCATAAAAATTAATACTAATATTAATAATTAAACATACTTACCTCTATACATGCCAAAATAGCCTTCTGAACGTAAGGTTTTCACTAGACAATCCAACCTGATCAGAACAGCAGTAAAAACAATTCATAAGTTTCATATGCAATGTTTGATATAATTCCAACTATTGTTTTAATATCTATTTTTGTTTCCAGTGATATCTATCCATATTTATATAGAATTAGCCAGTCCAATCTGATCAGAACATTAATAAAAACAATTTGTAAACTTTTACATAATTTGGAATGGTTTTAATATCTGTTAGTCTTTTCAATGATGTCTATCCATATTTATACATAATACAAAAGTCAATGTACTCTATCAAATGTTTTTGCTTTCATAAATGATTTCTAGCTAAAATTGCTTATAAAGTAGAAATTAGCATTAGCAACAATGAATATCCTAATGCTAGATAGGTGAGCATCTCAAGCCTTTCAACTACATATAATAATTACAGAATCATTCGATTAATAATGGTATATTTATATTCCTCAGCATCTGCATCCATTTTTATCCACTATGATAAAAATTGCTATTTGAACAATTTACAAACACAGTAATATCAGTGTTATAGTTACAAAAAAACCAAATTATATCCCCAGCTATTGAAGAAGTTTCCTGTCCTAGAAAGAATGGACAAAAGGGCTTTTGAAAAATATCCTCTTCAAAACAAGTTTTATTGGCTTGAGATGTTTTTCTAAAGGTCACTTACATGCTTTTGTAGACTTGCTGTCCACTTCTTTGATTCTGTAGCCTAGTTTTAACCAAGTCAATTGGAAATACACAAGTAACACCTATGATCCCAGCAACTCCTCCATTGATGAGCTTAGCAGGCAAACTAAACAGAAAAAAGTATAGTATAAATATATAATTTATAATTATATCACTGCTTCTCTCTTCCCATAACCTGTCCCTTCCCTATTCCTATCTATACAAAATCAGCTGCTTTGTCCTTTGTTTTGCTACTTAAGAGCATAATCAATAGGAAGTAGCAATAACGTCTTTTACATTTCAGAATTCTTGTGGAATACCTTATCATTGCTTCAGACTTGCTATACGTTTTTCTTTCCCCTATAAACTTGAGATAACATCTCAATAAAAAAAATCTAGGTAACTCTATCAGCCTCCAACCTTGCAATTACTTCAATCTTATTTTCTTCCATCACTTTTCACCCTCTTCATTTTACACAGAATTTAGGCTACCATATACCAACATTTGGTATCTTTAATTTGACATCTATTGATGTTTATATTGATGTCTAGAGTGGGACATACCTAATCTGTTTCTCAGTCATTTTCATCTCAAAAGGAAGAATGCTCCAAGTTTTCTTTGGTCAGTAAAAATAATACAAGCTGCCGAGCAGAAGTTGGTTCTTTGAAGAGACAGTTCTGTCTAAACTCTGCAAACTGAACCCATACCTTAAAATCCGTTAGTTGTTCTATAAATAATCCAGAGGTATCTCATTGGCTGTTTGAGCATAGAGGCATTTCAAATATGCCTAACCATCTCAAATTCAGTATGACAAATCGGAATACCCTCCCACAACTGCTATTACATCAGATGTCATCAGTTATTATTAATATCTAGATGATTAATTTATGATATGAAGATTCAACTGAAGTTGCAATATACTTTTTATATAATGCCTATGAAATTATACAGAATAGCTCTTTGATGAATCAAAAGTCACACAGAAATTAATTTAGAAACAAATCTTAATCATGTTTCATATATTCTGCCTTAATTAAATGAAAGCCACATTTGTGTTTGAAACTCTAGAACTTGGTTAATCCATTTTTCCCTCTTCTAAAGTGTTCATGAATCATTGTGTGCAGAAGTGGTAGATCTTCTGAAATGTTGCATGCCTGCCAAAAGATTTCCTATCATACAATTACCATGGCAGGAAAAGCTGCACATTCAGGTGCAGCTCATTTACGGTATTTGCCACAGCAGTTGACAACTACATTGTGTTATATTTTCTGCTGAGCTGCAATAGGGAATGCTCTGGCAGGAAGTCCTTTTGATCCAGCACTTGTAGGTTAGGAACAAGTTTGAAATGAAGCTTGACTATTAGAAATACCTTGTTCTATTGTTATTATACTAGTAGTTGTCCCTTTCTGAAAGACTTGCTGGCTGAAGGGGTGGGAAACCTGTTCCCAAGAAAGGGGAACAGGAGGAAAACTATCCAATTGCCTTTGGGTCACAAAGCACCATCTGCAAATGGCAGGTGACACCAATCCATCATATTTCGTCCATCATATTTCCCAATGACAATTTTTCTTCTTCTTTTGCTGCTGTCAACCCTTCAGAAAAAATGCAGCTTTCTGAACTGGGGCCAAGGTGGAATATTATTTTCCTACAGAGAAAGCCCTCAGACAGCTTTTTTTTCTTATTAAAAAAAAAACTATTTGGGCATCTACTTCACAACTGAATGACGGGTACAGAAGTCAAAGATGCACCTTTCCCAGCGCAACAAGCCTCGTTTTAAGAACGGTTTCGTCCTACTTCTAAAAAATACTCTGGCTTCTCTAATGCAAGAAGGTTTTCTACCCCTAAGCACGATTTTCCTTGTATGCTAGCGTCGGACTTGGGAGGGATCGTGAGACAAAAAAACGTAATGGAAATGAAATTTGATCGTAGAGGTGCCCCTGAAAAAGGAGACCCCATTCCAACTTGGTATCCTCGGGTCAGGTGACGGACAAGGATTCCTTTCTCTTCCCACTCCCATTTACTCACCGGCTGCGCGGCTGCATCTCCCTTGACCACGGGATTTAAAAAGCGTCCAGTGCGTTCTCCCCTCCTCCTCAACAAAGGCGCGTGGTCATTGGCCGCAGCAATTATAGCTCCTCCAATGACAAGACTTTCCATGTTTCGGCTCTCCCGTTACCCTTCCCCATCTTTTCCAAGTGCCAATTCCTAGGGAGGTCTTTTTGACAATTCCGCGGGGACTGCTTTGGCACGCAAAAGATTGCTTGCAATTTTTTCTTTTTGTTTAAACCCCATGGTCATCTCAGTGCTCCAGCCTGTTCGCTGCATTATCGCTGAACAACCGTGGCTCCCCACCCTCTCGTTCTCCGCCCGACAGTTTCAGTTGCAAGTAGTAATCTCAAATGTATTTAAGAGTAAAGATCTGGAAACAGAGATTTTACGTCCTCGTAGTTCTTCCTTTTGTTCAGCCGTTCCTTTATTTCTGCTCCACGGAGTTGGAGAGAGGAGCATACAAATATGGGCAACTGGACACTCCCCAGATATGTTAGATCACAAATGTCATGATGTTTGGTTACTAACCATTAGGTTAGTGCCAATGAGAGCTTAAGTCCTGAAAAGCAACCGCTTGACTCAGCAAGCCTTATACAATAGGCTTCAAATCCATCAGGGTTTGAAATGCAACGGCTTGCGGGGCCGGGGTGCGGGAGAGTGAGAGTCTGATAATATTGAAGTCAAACCTGTATAGGTTTACCTGGTACTGTGATTTTTGGTCTAATAAAAGCATTGACTGCACATTGCTGTTGGGATTTTTATTACAATTTCCTCATTGTGAGATACTGAATGTTTGCAAAAACCTATTTTCCATCATAAAGTTGTTCTATTGTAAGGTTCATTATTTTACTGACAAAAACCCCTGACACATAGATTTTGGAATGTTTATGAATTCAACATGTTCTCATTCTGAGACGTAGACTTTATGGTTTATATTGCCTCAGTGATGGCTGAGTTATGCCAAAAGTTCCAACTAATTTTCTACTACTGGATGGAAAAACAGTAGTAATATGGAAAAAGTTGCCTGCTTCCCAAGTCATCACATGGGCAAGTGTGGTGAAGATATTTAAATCCTCCCTCCCACCAGCCCTTTATTCAGAAGCTGCCACTTCATTGTAAATTTTGCTGTGTTGTGCAAGACTGTGGGCTTAAAGTTTAATGAATACATAACATAAGCAACTTAAACCAAGATCTTGTGTAATCAAACCAAAGTAATTAGAATCTTGGGAATTACAACCAGCTCTATAAGCCTTGCGATTTCAAGCACTCACTTCTTGTTGCTTTTTTAGAGTCTGCTGTGCTCTACAATTTGATGCTTGTAAACACTTATCTATTCTTTGCCACTGCCACCACTTGCCAAATAATGAATTGTTCAAATCTCCAAATGTTGTGAATCATCCAGACTAAGCCTTCATATAGCAACTTACTATATTTTTTTGTTTTTCAGATAAATGTTTTTTCTTTCTAGTAGAGATCTTCTGGCTTTAACTGGAATGGGTAAGCTGGTGCCCTAGAATCCCATTATAATCCTCAGAGTCTTCACAATTTGCAAAGCTTGAAATGTTACAAATATTAACATGGCAGGACTTAAAATAAATCTGTAATTTCATCCTTTAAATTCATCCTTTCAAATAGAAATCACTATCCCCGCCCATTGCCATGATTTCGTTGTGGCACTGGTCATGTCCCAGTGGGGCAGAGGAGTAGAAACAAGTTCCCCAGTCAAAAATGGTTGTGCCCCCCTCACCACTTTAATAGTTGTATTATCCATCATTTTAAGACATAATATAGTTTCAGTATGGAAACATAAACTGTACAAAGATGTAAAATGACATGAAGTAACTTATCTGTGGGGAAAAATATAATCTAAATCAGGGGTGTCAAACTCATGTTGTCATGACATCGTCATGTGACGTATCATGACTTTTCCCCCTTTGCTAAACCGGGCATGAGCATGGCCAGCGTGTGACGCAGGCTGCGAGTTTGACACCCCTGATCTAAACAATATTCCCTCTCCAAATAAACATTCAAGATGCCTCAGTCCAAAATGTATCTTTATACATTATAATTTTTTGTAATATACTAACGTCCCTAAGGAAAAGGAATCCTTTGAATTTAGCTTTTTAAAAATGTATTCATAACAAACTCAGTATTGAAATCAATAGTTTTCTAAAACACTACAAAAATTAAAAAGTATCCCAAATACTAACATTTGACTTCCAGCCAAAAAGCCCAGGCAGAGCAAGGAGATATATGATCGCCTCAGATGAGGGAAGAACAGAAGCTGACACAGAAGATTAAAGAGTGATCTGTGAATAATGATATACTCAAGTAGGTTGTTACATTCAAAGAGTCAAATTTCAGCAACAAGTTTTCATCAATGCCTGATACACTCAACAAGTTTCTGCTACTTTTTGACCCTGGACTGGGTGTATATTTTTTGTTCCATTGTGAACTCTGGAATAAGATATACATCCAGAGAAATCTGGATATACCAATAAAAGTGGCTGTGGGTGTACGAAATCTCAGGATCCAGAGACTTATCATCTTTAGTTCTGGGTGGGGTGGCACTACGCCAGACAGACCAGATGCACAATTTGGAGTTTCTTCAATGCCTGTTGGCAGTTGTGGCTGGAAGAGCCTTCATACAAATTTGTATGGTGCACCATTTTTGCCCTTTTCTAGATTGTGGGGAACCTCACTCACATTCTAGTCATTTCCTGTTTGGATTATTGCAATGCATTCTAAATGGGGCTATCCTAGTAGCTTTGGGAAGCATTTTGGTCCAAAATGTAGTGGCACCAGGGGTGAAATTCAGCAGGTTCTGGAGAACCAGTAGCAGAAATTTTGAGTAGTTTGGAGAACCGGCAAATACCACCTCTGGCTGGCCCCAGAGTGGGGAGGGAATGGGGATTTTGCTGTATCCTTCCCCTGCCATGCCCACATTATTACCTTTAAAGCCCTTTATGGCATGGATCCAGGATAGCTGTGGAATCATCTTTCTTGAATGGGATTAGCACACTCAACTTGTCCTGACAGAAGAGGCTGACTGCGGATCCTATCACAGCTGAGGAATTTCAGCTGGTGGGATCTAGGAGAAAAGCCTTCTCTGCCATGCCTCCTGTTCTTTGGACCATCTTGTCACAGGTGAGATCTGCCCCCTCCCTTTGAGATTTCAGGAAAAGCCTTAAATTCTAGCTATGCCAATTGGCACGAGGTCCCTAGCTAGAGATGGTTGATACACTAACAGAGAAGGCCACCCCACCTCTGTCCTCCAAACCCTTTTATATTAGCTTGTTTTAAATTTTGTAATTTTAATCATTTTTTTATAATTATAATCACTGAGTTTTATCTTGATGTAAGCCTCACAGTCAAACCATGAGATGGGCGGTGATTAAATTTGGTAAATAAATAAATAGAAAATATATTTAACTTAGGGCTGAAATGTGGAGTCCTTGGTGCTCTGTGAGGTTGGTTGCTTGCTTGCAGATGTTGCATTACCCAACTTGGTAATGTCTTCAATGTTAGAAGGGAGTTTGCTGTTTATATACAGTAGTTTGCCCTGAGTTAGGGGTGTTGTTTTCTTCAATATCTGGATAGAATATTTAAGGATACCTTAAAACTAGCAGTTGGGTGGTCTACCAAGCTTCATTTAACAAGGCATTCTATAAGTACAGAGTTGTAGAAAAGGTTCATTTTCTTCTTTTAACTTAGGAGTTTTTAATGGTACTGTAGATAGCAGCAAACAGAATTTTCTGCCTTCCTATAAGCAAGGCAAGATAAAAGAATAATTATTTCTGATCCTAATACCTGGGCAGGACAAATAATATATAGGAAAAATGATTGCCAATCTTCTTGGAAGTGTAGAGAAGTGTGTATATGCAAGTTTATTTCCATTGTGAATTAAACATCCCAACGACAATTATATGCATCTATTACCTACATATTTGAATTCTAGTAAGAAGAAACCATGGGCACTTGTGTAATTAGTTCATGACTCCTCTTTTTTTGTTGATTATAAATAAAAGTGTTTTATTTTAGCCTCTATAGACATTTATCATTTTATATGTACAATATATGTTGAGGAACCATTCATTTGAAAAAGAGGCACCCAGCTTGACTTCTTAAAATAATTAGTGCATTTGAGGGGAAATTGTGTCACAATTTTTTTAAAATGAGCAAGCAAAACATTGCAGTAATTTACATTGGAAGAACAAAGATAATAAATGTAGCACTCCTACACCTTAACTAGTCTAAAACAATGTTGCTCAAATACTATAAGTAAAAAGCCATCAGCTCATTGAATTTACAGGAGAGCAATCAAAATGAAATTGTCAGAATGAAAAAAAAGAAATTCCTGTCAGGATCTTGCACAGTTCTAAAAGGTATTTATCATAACACATCTGGTCTCCCATAACATGTCTTTGAGCACAGCACATTATATCTTAGGATAAAATCTTATATCCTGGTGGTGCAGTAGTTAAGAATAAAGTATTGCAGGCTAACTCTGCCCCCAGACTGGAGTTTAGTCCTAACAAGTTCAAGGTTGACTCAGCCTTCTATCCTTCCGAGATCAGTAAAATGAGGAACCAGACTGTTTAGGACAGTCTGCTGGCATTGTAAACTGCTCAGAGAGTGCTCTAGAGCACTATGGGGCATTATATAAGCCTAAGTGCTATTTCTATTTCTACCTTCTTTCATCCCCAGAATATTATCTTTTATTGCATAATACAGTGGATATAGCTGAGAAAGGAAACTGCACATGTGACACATCTTGTAAAGTAAGCTAACAAATGCTCCCACTCATTACTTTTCATTCAGATTATTTTTATTAGATTTTTGCATCAACTTCAGTAGAGAAACAGTGATAAAAATGCATTAAGAAAACAGAATATGTTTCAATAACATCAATTGCTAATAACATTTACACAATTACATGGGAAAGATGCTTAGTTCCCCATGAAAACAGCTTGATGCATGATGCTGCTAGATAGCAGAAACATCAGAAAGGAGGAGTATTTCTATCAACATTTGGGGAATTAATGAAGTCTTTTGCACAAATTCCAAAATACACATTTCAAGGAGTGAAAATTCTAGTTATGTACAAC